ATCCCTGGCAGTGTTGAAGGGCAGGTTGGATGGGGCTTGGAGCAGCCTGGTCTGGTGGGAGGTGTCCCTGCCTGTGCAGGGGGTTGGAATTGGATGATCTTTAATGTCCCTTCCCAACCAAACCATTCCATGACTCTCTGATGATCTGAGATATCCAGCCTGTTTCTTAATTTTTCCCTCTCTGCCTCAAATTTGAGTCAATACAATCACTTCCCAGTTGTCCCGGTGTAAAGGCTGTGGTGAAATGTCTTGTTCCTTTATTAAAAGCTGGTTATTGGGAACACGTGGTAATAAAGATTAGAGCTGGAGGAGGCAAAGTGAAGCAGGATGAATGTGGCTCCCTAGATCCAGGCCAATGGTTGGAAGATTCAGTTGGTTTGAAGGTCTCTTGACTTTGACTCATTTCCTAAGCCAGAAGATGAAAGCAAGAAAAGCATCATATTTTAGGGTTGTTAAAAAGTCTTCTTTGGCCTTCCAGCCTCTTTGAGGACAGGGTGAATTTGCCTCCATCAGTTACAGAGGAAGAATCGTGGAATCAGAGAGAAAAACCCTGCTCTGCTCCTGAGCTGCCATTTTGTTTATCTGCCTTTTTCTGCTGGGCTGGAGAAAGAGATTCCTCAGTCCTGTGTTTTCTGCTGGCACCAGGTGGCCCTTAGCAAAGCTTCTTGTGGCCCTGCTGCAAAACTTCCCAGCCTAAAAGGGTTTCACAACCTCGGAAGTTGTTATTTGGAGCCACCTCCTGGGATGGTGTCACTGCTGGAGCCAGCCTTTCATCTCCAAGTGTGGATCATCCTCATCAGGGAGGTGGGTAAAGAGCTGGTGTGGGACAGAGCTCAGAGGGTTGTGATCAGTGGAGCAGGGTTGAGTTGGAGGCCACTAACCAGGGGTGTCCCCCACGGGTCAGTGCTTGGTCCGGTCTTGTTCAGCATCTTCAGCAATGATCTGAACAAAGGGACAGGGTGTATCCTCAGCAGGATCATTGATGATCCCAAACTGGGAGGGGTGTTGACAATCCAGAGGGCTGTCCAGCCATCCAGGGTGACCTGGGCAGGCTGGAGAGCTGGGCAGAGAGGAACCTGGTGAGGTTCAACAAGGGCAAGTGCAGGGTCCTGCACCTGGGGAGGGAGAACCCCATGGACCAGTAGAGGTGAGGGTTGGACCTGCTGGAGAGCAGCTCTGAGGAGGAGGATCTGGGAGTCCTGGTAGGTGGTAAATGATCCATGAGCCAGGAATGTGCCCTGGTGGCCAAGGACGCCCATGGGATCCTGGGGTGCATGAGGAAGAGTGTGGCCAGGAGGTGGAGAGAGGTCATTGTCCCCCTCTGCTCTGCCCTGGTGAGGCCCCATCTGGAGAACTGGGACCAGTTCTGGGCTCCCCACTTCAAGAGAGACAAGAACTGCTGGAGAGAGTCCAGGGGAGGGCAACAAAGGTGACTGGGGGGCTGGAGCATCTCCCTGATGAGGAAAGGCTGGGAGAGCTGGGGCTGTTCAGCCTGGAGAGGAGAAGGCTGAGGGGAGACCTTCTTAATGCCTCCAAGTGTCTCAGGGTGGGTGCAGGAGGATGGAGCCAGACTGTGCTCAGCAGTGCCCAGGGACAGGGCGAGGGGCAATGGGCACAAGCTGGAACATGGGGAGTGACATGGAAATGGGAGGGAAAACTTGTTTGCAGTGAGGGTGACAGAGCCCTGGGACAGGCTGCCCAGGGAGGCTGTGGAGTCCCCTTCTCTGGAGACTTTCCAAACCCACCTGGGGAATGTGCTCCAGGGGATCCTGCTTTAGGTGGGGTTGGACTGGAAGATCTCTAGAGGTCCCTTCCAACCCTGACAATTCTGTGATTGTAACTAATTTGATCTCTCCCAGTCCCTTCCCAATTAATCCTTTTCCTTTCTGTCCTAGAAGACAAAGCTCCACCACGACCTACTGGAGACTGTGGTGTGTCATAAGCTGCCATGTGGCTCTGACACGTGGAATCTGGCCACAATCCCTGGCAAGTTGAAGGTCTTGACTGGCTAATTTAAGGGAATTTGTGTTGGAAAGAAGTAGCTCCAGTGCAGTCACTGTTATTACAGCTGCAGGTTTTCCAGAGATATC